AAACTCTGTCTCAAAAAAAAAAAAAAAAAATAATAATAATAATATTCATTCATTCAACATTTCCTCAATGCTTACCATGTGCCTAGCACTGGGGTACAACGATGAATGAGCTAAACTGGACTTGGTGGCTCACACTTGCAATTCCTGCACTTTTGGAGGCTGAGGAGGGTGGATCACTGGAGGCTAAGAGTTCAAGGCCAGCCTGGGGAACATGGAGAGACCTCATCACTAAAAAACAATCTTAATAAAAAATAAAAACAAAGAACAATGAAACAGGGTCCTTTCCGGGGTGACGTGCCTCCTCTTGTCACCACAATTTCAGCTCATTTATGCGTTTGCTAAATGGTTGCTATGGCTTGAATATCTGTCCCCTCTAAAACTTATGTTGAAGTTTAATCCCCAGTGTAGCAATATTCAGAGTTGAGGTCTTTAAGAGGTGATTGGGTCCCGAGCGCTCTGCCCTCATAAATGGATAAATCCATTCATGGATTCATGGGTTGATGGACTAATGGGTTGCTACAGGAATGGGACTAGTGGCTTTTTAAGACGAGGACGAGAGAATTGAGCTAGCATACTCAGTCTGCTCAAGAGTCCCCACCAGCAAAAGGCCCTTACAAGTCGTGGACTTTACAGCCTCCAGAACTGTAAGAAATAAATTTCTTTTCTTTGTGTATTACCCAATCTGTGGTATATGTTACAGCAACAGAAAATAACCTAAGACAATGGTGCTACTGATTGGGGGGAAGCCTTCAAAAAAATTAAAAAAGGGAACTCTGGATGGATGTGGTGGCTCATATTTTTAATCTCAGCCCTTTGGGAGGCCAAGGTGGGAGGATGGTTTGAGCCCAGGAGTTAGTGACCTCCTGAGTAATGCAGCAATACCCCGCCTATACCAAAAGAGAAAAATAAATTAGCCTGGCTTGGTGGTGCAGGCCTGTAGTCCCAGCTTCTGGGGAGGCTGAAGTGGGAGAATTGCTTGGGCCCAGGAGTTCAAGGTTACAATGAGCTATGATATGACAGTGCCACTGTAAATTAAAGGCAGAGTAGGGAAGCATGCCTGGTAAGGGCAAGGAACAGCAGGGAGACTGGTGAGGCCACAGAAACACAGGTGCTCAGACAGTGTTTGCTGAGCACTAAAGTGCAAACACTTTAGTCTGGTCCTCAGAGTGCCAAAGTAGCTCTCAACTTGTGTCTCCCTCTGCCTCCTTTCTCTCAGGTTAAAAAAAAAAAAATCATCTGTGCAGATGTTACTGTCCCAAAATTGCTGATGGATTTTTCAAGATCTCATTCTTCCCACAGTCCTTCTTTAACTCTGCTTTCCATTTAACTGGGAGTCTGCCCATGAGTGAGTTTTCCTCTTCCCGGGTCACTTGCATGGGTCTCTGCACCATTCTTGGTGTGATTTCTTCAGTGCTGACAACCGAACCTGGAACAGAGTAAATGTTCAGTAAAAGAGCTCTCGACTGAATGAATGAATTTCCCCTGAGAGTTACATCAATCCTTT